ATTCGACTTCATTCGTCAACGTTCCCTTTAAGAGTGATGTAATCCGTCCAAATGTTCTCTACCATTTCGATACCTTTTTTAAAGAAAGACTTCTTAGGATCCTTAAAATACGCGTCAGTATTCGCAATGACGTAATTATTTAATCCAAATTTTTTTCAGTGCAAAATTTTTTTTTATGATCTATCAACGGATTGCAGCCGTTAGAACTGCGCTGGTGAGTGAGGCAACAGCTCGAATTCCGATTTAGGCATTTTTGCCATTGCAGCCATGGACTTGTGTCTCACTATAAGCGAACATGGCAGCTCTAGCGCGATTGGCTTTTCCATTCCTATATCCTGCTTCAACACCACATAAATACGTTCTTTGAGCATAGTCATAGCCTTTGGTATAGCTCTTTGCTTAATTCCAGGACGTTCGAGCCGCACTATTTGATGAATTTTAGTAATGTTTTCGTTAGCGCATGCAGTTCTCGGCCATCCCGAACGGCATCAACCGAACTGGTGCGGTCTCATTTTCAATTAACCTACGTATATACTTATATATTAGGTCTGCTGTCTGTTTCTTCCAGTTAAAGCAACTTTCAAGAAGTGTGCGATTATTCATTTGGCGTGCATTTGACTCAATCTTTTTATCTCTGAATGTACACATATTGACCTAGAAAGTGAATTAAAACGAAGACGATGTTATTATTATGTGAGACGCTGTCGTGTATCCATGACTGCTGATAAAGTTTATTTACGGCACTGTACGTTGTACGAATTCCAACAAGGAAAAAATGCTTTGAAGAAATTTGTTGAGTGTTTGGTGAAGATACAACTTCTGATAGAACGCGTAAAAGGTGGCTCGAAAAATTCCAAATAGATGATTTCGACCTTCCTGATAAGCCGCGCTTTCGGTGACCATATTCGATCGACCACGATACTGTCGAATTATTGTTAGAGAAAAATATTTTTTTAACAGCATCGAACATTGCGGAGACATGATTCCGGTAGACCTATTATATATACTTATGTATGATATATCATACCTAAAATAAAATATAGTATAAATACGTAGTGCATATGTTTTCTAGGACTTCCGATGCCTACGAAATGATAAGTGTAAACCTGCACATCCGTGACATGTAGAAAAACAAATGGGTCTAAACAACTCTATCTATTTGCCCGTCCGTCTGCGGCACCCATTCTTATTGTAGCAAAAGTTAAGATATCGGCTTCAAATTTGGTAAGAACATTGGAAGCAGGTTGCTTTGACACGCCTACAATACTATGTAAACTGAGCATGTTTCTGTGCTCAAAAACAAAAAAATTTGCGGCTTTTGCTCATTGTTTATAAACTAAAACAGATGCAACGATAAAATTTGGCACTTATATTCTCCCATAGTGGGCGTATAAAAACGGGAAAAATCGCCCAAAACCAGGCAATATAAGGGAATACTGAATTTTCATTTTCGTCGAGTTTTTTTGATCTAGAGGTGGTGGGTTAACGAGATTCGTCCACAGCCGAATTACATTTGTTTACTTATTGAACTTAATCCCTACATTTCCTACCTTCAAAATTCGTATATTAGCTTTTTCTGTTAATTTTTAAAAACCTTGACGGACGGACATAACTGAGCCAATTAAAAAAACGTTGAATAATGAAATATACGTAGATTGGCAATAGCTACAAAAACGTGGAAGAAATACAACACTGTTGTCCCTCTCTAATCAAGCTGTGTAGTGACCACCTTTAAAGTAGCGCCAACAATACCTTCACGATTTGGGGTAATTTCCTGGTGTGATGCTGATATCTCCCGGGAGTTCGGAAACATATGCGAAATATATTCATAGGAAAATCCACTCTAAATTATGCATAAACGTAATGGCGCATGCGTGCATGTGGGTGATACAAGCCGTGAACAATTTGGATCATTGGATTAGAATTGAGGAAGGTCCAATCAATGAAAGGGAATAAATTAGATAAGAGAAAGTGAGTAAATATATTTATAAATAAATAAGGATGTGATTATAGATACATTATATAATCTCTATCGTATAATATTTGCATTGCAACTCTGTTCTCGTATTGTATTATAATACAAATTTCTGACTAGTCATAAATTTTAGTTACACAATAGTGTAAAGCTATTTAAGTGAATAAAGCGGCACATCTTTAATGAATGTTTCAATGTTTTTGTAACGTAATGCACGAAGGCCGCTGATGACCTCTGAAATCATGGAAAATTCATTTCTTACATCGGGTCAGAATGCATCAAATATTGTCTAATTTACAAGCCATCGACATTTTACCCTTAGAAGAGGTGCTAGAGAATGAAGTGCGTATTCATTAAAGTACTTTAGTATCAGCAGTTCCATGACAAAGTTCTAGGAAACATGAGGAGGTGCAAAGTTTTCGAAGCTGCTGTTGCATTTTCTTTTACAATGAAAAAAAGTCTCGTCTCTTATGCTTATGCTTCTTATTAGTTGAAAAATGAGTGATATATTATTAGTACAACTGCAAACCATCACAAGCATATACTCACTCTTAACATACCCTATAAAGTGTTGTAAAACAAATTCTTAGATTGTCACGCAGTATTACATCCAACTTATATATGTCATTAGATAATCGGTCTAATATACGTCCTTTAGGATTAACATCGAAAAACACTTGGGGAGTACGTAATATGTGCACAAATAAAATTTTAAAGATCTTCTTTGCTCCCCTCAAGGCACCCAACTCACAGCATAGTATTGACCCTATATGACCGGTAACTAAATATAATTTCAATTATATGAATTTCGTTTAATAAGCATTCTAGAAAGGTTATATAACTGATTTTTTTTCTAATTTTTTTCAATATTGAAACAAAACATTAACAAAGTGTTAGGACTCTAATAATATCAAAAAGAAAAGCGGCGAGAAATATAGCATACACATATTATAAAACAAGTGCCCACACCAAAGTCCAGCGAGGTAAAATTTTTCTTTGAAGGGCATGACGGAATGCGGGATCCTTCGATGATAGGCGTACAAGAAGGAAAAGAAAAAATGTTCTTCATTTCTTTTGAATGGCCATAACGTCCCTAATACACAACTAAGCGCCAGCTAGCAGATTTTACTGGCTACTGCCTCTAGAATTGCAGTTCCTCGTGAAAAACAAATGCCTTTTACGTAAGAGTATATCGTCCAACCAACATGGAGCTATAGTATACAATTATGAAAAACATCCGATAATGTGAATAACGTTAAGACACTACAAAATTATCAACTTAAAAACTCTTCGTTTGATTGCTAGTGTCACAAAACTATCCATGATGAGCTTGACATTGTTCATATGATTATTTTTATGGATGGGGTAGGCACAGGCGTGGAGTTTTTGAACTGTCCATGAAGTAGTGATGAAGCGGATGGAATAAAAGTGGGCTTGCAAAACCATAAAAATTAATTTTTAAACCTATACCTACGGTTGATTACGGCAAAGCGGAACTGATTTCCGTACCCTTACCCTCTCAGCAATAGAGTTAGCGGGGCTGTAGACGAAAAGGGAATTTAGTACTTGACGAAAGATTTTCTATATTGTGAAATTTTAAGAATTTGCCAAAGAAAGATATCACTGAACACTGAGCAATATATCCTGCATTTACAGCCTTTTCCATTTTGTGTAAAATTTGGTATTCGGAAGCAATATAGCGGCAACAAACCTCCCTAAAGCATCAATTTTGTTAAAAAAAAGTTTGCAAAGTTACGAAAACCACACAAAAAATATGCTTGCAACTAACTTGTGAGATGTGAAGTCCCAGTGAAGTCCCATACGAATTTCAGGCTCTGACCGCAAACAATGTGCGTTGATCGCCAGATTTTTGTAAAGACAACAAAATTTTATAATAAGTGAAGTGCGATAACTGTCTTCAATTCTGGAATCTCTCGAATTTTTAAATCAATTTTTGGGATCTCTGATTATCAACTGTTTGTTGCCTTGTGTTTAAAGAACAAAAAATTGTCTGAAAAGATAAAAGGGTTCGAACAATATTTACAAATTAACTTAATTAGCCTTTCAACTCAATTAATCAATCAATCTAAGCTCCAAGTTATAGTTGACTTTTGAAAACAATTACAAGTGAAGCGTATTTCGATAAAAGCTGTTCCAACACCACCAAGTCAGAATGATCCACAAATTAAAAAACTCGTATCGCAGCCGCTTTTTGTGAGACAATATTATCGAAAGAATAGACTCATCAGTCCGAATAAAATGTGTCTCTAAATTCAACTTAGCCAATTTAAATTGACGTTCACCAGTATATAATAATTATTATCTATCTCTCTCTATGGTAGAGCGCACTGCTGACAAAAGCGAATGTACAGCTTTCCAGCTGTTGTCCTTGCAGGATGAAATTTGCAATTCAACCAATCTAAACTAAAATCAAATTTTCTTACGTTCACGATAATGTATATTGAATAAAAGTATTGAAAAGAAAGGCAACAAAAGTAAAAAAAACTAATATAAAAAAAAAAAAAAAAAAAAACAAAAAATTATTGAAGAATTTTAAGAATTTTTGTTTTTACCTGAAAACATGTCGATAAAAACATGCGTATATTCAATGGTATAACCATGTCTAAAACATTGATGTCACTTGAACACCTATCTAAAATGCGAGCCTTCGGTGTTACATCGAAGAATTCACCGGCCGAGCGTGCAATTTGTGAAAATAAATGATGAAATATACTCGTAGAAGCATTAAGTGCAGCTATTGATAGACATAATGAAGAATTAAAATGACAAAAACCTAATGTATAGAAGAGAAGATTTAATGATGAGTTAGTTTTTTTTTTGGCAAAGAAATGGTTACGGTTTGCATTTGTTTCGCTTTTTAAGAAAAGCTGATGAAATTTAAGTAAAAAAAAAAAAAAAAAAAAAAAAAAACAAAGAAAAGTGTAATACAAACCAATAAATAATAATGTTTTGATAACAAGAAAGAAAAAAATATCTGCAAAAAACAGAAATAAAAATTTAATACCAAAAATATAAACGTAAGGAAACTATCCAATGTTCCTGGGAGTTCATTATCAATGATTTCCATATCACCGCTAAAATGATTAAGTAAGCGGCCTATTGGCGTAATATCGAAAAAACGACAGACCGATCCACGTAAGATTACATGAAATAAATCGTTATGCATTTTCTTCGCCGCTTCAAAAGTTCCGCAATAGACAAAGACCACGGCGAAGTAGGCAAAAACACCTACGGTTGTTTGATCGTTTGATTTATGGCGGGGAAAAAGATCAGGAGAAAAATAAATAAAAACAAAATATAAAACAAAATTTATTTTTATAAAAGCAATAAATAAACTATCGTTTACCATATCCAAGAGGAATAGGGATGAATGCTTTTGCCATATGTGTGAACAAATTTATGCAAGTTATTGAAGATCCACTAGTATTATTATAGGCTATATACTATAATTGACTAGAGCCCCTTTTAACAGGAAGAATTATTTTTTGAATGGAATTAATGTATTAAGTAAGTATTAAGTATTTATTCGTTTGGAATCAGTTTTTATGATTCTTTTTATACGCACGGTTATATATATGGCTGAAGGACTATTACGCCATTTTTATAGAAGAAATGATAAACAAGTTTATATGCATATGCAAACTTACTATATCAAAATTTATGTATCTCGCTTGAGAAGCGTCTTTTCAAAGCTAATATTATTAATGTCTCTTAAGCGGGAGTGTTTTCATAGAACTTTTTTCTTATAACGTATATTATATGTATACACATGCATATGTAAGAAGAATAGGAAGAAAGAAATGAAACTGTATATAATTTAAAATAAATCTTACATATCCATCACTTCAGTGCATTTTTTTCAAGTCATTGGAAGCCAAATAGTGCACAGGAAATCTCTGAATTAATGACATATAGATTACATGAGTGGCATATGTATGATGTTTATCTTATCATTTTGCTGGTTTATCGAGCCACATTTACTTTAAGTTTTTCTTCTATAAACAACTAATAAAACCAAATCAATTCGCAATTTAATGCTGACAGGAAGTGCCTTTAAAGGCCGAGTTTGTTAGATCTCCTTTGAAGCTAAGCTCAAACTACGTGGCAAGTTATGGCGAGAGAAACAAGGAAACTTCGCAAATAATTTCTTTTAATGTCGTTTCGCAAGCTCTCGGCGACGGGCACGCTTCATCAAGAAGCCATTGACGGTAACGGAAATCGCCTAAATACAGACTCCTTTATTAACCAATCAACAACATGAACATGCTTATCACAGCTCTGTGCGTTGTTGACGCGTTCAGGAAAGTATCTGTGTCCTTGGATATTGAAATTACAAGAGGAAAAAAATTAGATGGAAGTCCAGGATGTACATGTACGACTTGCAACACTGCGTCATAATACGAACTATGGCAACAGCGGGTGTCAAGGTGCTCACACCTTACATACAAACAACAGCCGCACACATTTTTTTAATGCGTACAGAATGTCGGCGTGAGAGCGATAGAGACCTAAGACCTTACAAGGGTAATTCAATGAAAGTCGCGACAGCTGTGGCTACCCCAAAATCGCGGGAACTGTAAATTATTAGAGGCATTAGATAGACCTTGCCTTGACAAGAAGGGAGCGCTTGGCTGCCACACAATCTTTTATATATGAAGGCCCCACTCGTTGTCACTCGTGTTTAACTCTATAAATTTAAAGGTTTCGTCTGACTAAGTTACTAATACGTGTGGGTGTGGACGTTAAATTCTAAAGGTACGTGTGGATCCTAAGTAAGAATATATATGCCAAGTTCCAATGCTTTATGCCAGTTCTTGCAAATTCGATAACTTTAACAACAGGTATCTAAATATGAGTTTAGTCAAAGTACTATACGGATAAAGAACATTTAAAGAACTGCGTAACTATAACAGCTTTGAACAGAGTTCTCCTGATGTTTTTCATTCATTGATAGACTGAGATATGGCGTCCAACTCTTTTAAAGGACCTTTTTTTCTGTGCTTTTCCCGACGTGAGGATTTTAGCTTGGAAAATAGAAAAGCCTCAGGCATCCATGTTGCATGAGTACGGTCCTGATTCAGGCGAGTGAAATGAGCTTTTGAAGACTTTTCGACATTGAGAGCTTTGAGTAACACAAGATTATCATGGCCCATGGAATATAATGTAGTGAAAAAATGTGTTGCTTCATGAGTCAGTTCTCTAAGACTCCCACGACTAATGGTTGCCTTGTTTTTTTTATCGTTAAAGATCGACCATAACGAAGCAAATCGTCTACCATTTATCGAAATTTCCTTAAATCGCTCATATCCCGTATGATTTTAGGTCCTTTTCAATATTTTAACGATTCGCCAAAGAGAATTTAACTTGTACACAAACCTTAACAATTAAGATCCCGCGGCATGTTCAATAGCTTGACCGAAACAGCAAAAAACGGCAATTAAAAACGCGGTCTAGTGATGCCAACTTACAGAACAAAATGGTGTTGATTGTGATCAGATAGCCATAAATTCCGCTTGGCCCCCATTCATTACACCAACTATAACTGACACGTTTTTTTTTTTCTATATATAGAGTAAAGGTAACTTTGGACTTTCTATGGTAAATAAAATAATTAAAAGGGAAAAATCCGAATTATATAAAATATATATAAATAATATTATTGTAAGATGAGTTGGCAAAAATTGCAAATAATAATCAAATTAAATAAGACTTTCATATGAATTTGAAAAATGATTTTCATTTTATAGTTTTCATATTTCATTTATAGTTGAATGGCTTAACTGTTTATACCCTCTACATCACTTTTGGTGCAAGGTCATATTGAGTTTACGCGGTTGTATGCAACATCCAGAAAGACTTGAGATAGACCCACCTTTCCTTATGCCGAACGCTTCAGAATCACTTTCTGAATTGAACTAAGCTTGTCTGTCCTTCAGCCCCGTCTTGTTTGCTTATGTTCCTTCTATGGGCCGCAATTTTTGAGATATATCGGTAAAATTTGCCACGCTGGCACATTTTGGCCAAAGTTGAAGACTGTTGCAAATAGTTCGGATTAGCCCACTTTTTCGACCACATTTCGTATAAATACTAGTTTTGAAAAATCGTTATATTGTAAGTAAAGTGATGTAGGGTATTTAATGATGGGCCGCGGCCTACCATATTCCACCAATTTAGATATTGCAATTCGCTAAATGTAACATAAATGCATTTTGAAAAAAAGAAATTTCTTAGGCATTTGTTTTTCCATTAATTGATTTTTTTTTTTTTTTTTTTTTTTTTTGGTTAAGCTGCCAAGGCAATTAACACTAAAAGATGAAATGTAATATGATAAGAAAGATTCGAATAAAGTAATTTTTACCAATAATTGCCAAATTGCTGAGTTGTGACTAAATGTTGCGTAAGTGTACTTGTGTGATGAAAGAAAGCCATATTAAAATTAATAAAAAGGATTCATACGCTCTAAAGCGAATTTATAAACATCCGCCACTCTAGGCAATGCAACATGTTCAAGTTATTAATTTTACATTGACAAATCAAGTTCTCTAATTCTCATGGAGAGCATAGATACGCATAAAAAACTCCATTCCGGGCTGGTAATGTCTAGATCGGAATGATGTTTAGAGGCACATTTCTTTAATCGAAAGTGAATGCATTCGTTGGCATCATCCATACCGTCTTTTACAGAAAAGCGAACGGAAGGACACAACAGTGAAAACTTCCTTTGCCTGTCAGCTTAATGTGTAGACATTTGAAATAGGAGAGAGGACTTACATGATATGAAGACATACTTTTAGCAGATGCAATTTTGCAAGAACGCGGACGGTAAAGAAGACTCACAAAGAGTGTGGTATTGTTTATACGACAGAGACGTTCATCTTTGTTACAACGGAATAACTTTTTTTTTGTGTTCGACAAATTTCGTTTTTGCAGTCAAACAACAGTTAAATATTTACCTATGCTCCCTGTTACAAACTAGAGTGGGCGGATATTAACGTGTTGCGTATGTTTGAAACAATTTAGATTAATTAAAATTTTAAGTGATTTTTTTTTCTTTTTTCTAGAAGTTAGGCGCAAAAATATGTGTGGACAAAGAGCTGCGTCTTTTTAACACCCATCGTACAAATTCTGTTTTGGCGACGACAATCGAATTGAATCTAGAGAATCTAATCAATGCGATATTAGACTTGCTGGAATTCACCATAGATTGGATGATGGGTGAAAAAAGAAAACACAGAGCTCGAATGCTAAAGCGCTAGCTAGCATTATGATAATTGGCAAATATGCAAAATTTTATGAAGCAATGAGCAAATTCTCGATATCGAAATACCTTTAAACGAGAGACTATTGAAAAAGATATTGCTACGTGAACAAAGAAAGTTATTGCGTTATTGAGCGTAAAGTAAAGTTAGTAACTTGCTCCGGCATCGTCGAATATTAAGCAAACATTACTAATGGTTCTTAAACGAAATATTCAATGACATTGTTCTCAACAAAGATCTGTTCATCGCAAATTTCACGTTAATAATATTTGCTTATTACCTTATGCAACTAACTGCTTACGCTGCAGAGCAAGATTGTTATTGTTACTCGACCATATTTAAAAGAAAGCATTTAGTGCAGTATTATGTAAAGCTTACTACAGTGATGCGATTTCCAGTAAGTAATAAATGAAAAAAGCTTTAGTTAGAATTTATGGGGAAGGTGCAGAAATATAAATTATGATTTAGTTAGGTATTTAGAATTTGAGAGAGATATATATTGACGATTGAATGAATTACATGTGTCGAGAATTTGTGTAAAGTTCATAATTTTTCTGACATTTTTGATTAATCTGCAATCAGATAGAAGAACATTCTCCAAAGGGTACACTTTAGAAGTTTAATTAGCTTTAACGAGGTTTTTCTCTCAAATTCCAAATAGTTTAGATGGTAATCAATTTCTAGATTAATTATTTATAGAATTTTCATGTATTTTGTTTACCCCAAAGCATGTATTGAGAAATTGCAGTAAAACTGACGGTATTACAGTATCACACGTATCAATATCTTTCGAAAATCGGCTTACAATGCGACCCAACGGTGTTGTATCGAATAATTCCAATGGCCATCGTAAAACTTTTGACAGCATTGTCAGAAATACAGCCCTCGAACTGTATAAAGAACCGATTGCCAATGCTATACTCGCTAAATAACGTGCCACAACTAAATAAGTCATTTAAAGACGACAAG